ACTGAAAACTGCCCATCGAAACTCCATAGCTGCAGAAGTACTTGCAGTGCCACAGTTGTCTCTCTGTTGCAATGACACAGCTAGCCTGATTGGGACTTAGTTGGTCTCCAAGTCATTTGGAGCCTTCTAGTGGCTAAACAGAGTGTAGATTAACCCATTATTCCTTTGAATAATCTTACCATTATTTCTGTGTATTCCGTTAGCTTTGAGTCTTCAATCTGCTTATTTGCTTTCTGTAATAAATCTTTCAAGAAGCTCTGTTAAATAGAAGAATAATAGGTGAATTTTTATCTACAGTATAAAATATTTGACTTGCTAACTTTGGATTAAGGTAATGGAAAATACTATTTTACTTCCACTTTAGTATTTACTGTTGAAGTTCCAAATAAGTATGAAAAAAAATAGTTACAGCTAAGAATATAAGTTTCTTTTGATAAGTTCAAGTACACTGCATTTTATTTGGAAAAAGTGACTCCTAAAACTTTCTGCATTGTATGCCATTTGTTGTATTGTGAATTTGGAAAAAAGTTTGGCTTTCAAGAATACTGCTTCCTAATCAGCTCTATCAGTAAACTAAGCTAATTAACCTTGGGTCTCCTTTTAAACTTGGATGCCTATTCACTTCTTGCAACATAGGAACAATTTTACAGAAAGGATCAATGATTAATCAGGTTTTGTCCTTGCCTATGGCAGTACCCATTGCTAGATATGAACATTGCTCCTTCCTACCTTGTACTTTAAATGTGTGCAGCCAATTTCATTGCATTTTAGAATGAGAATTTGATGTCACATTACTTGAAACACCAACCATTTTTACTTTAAAAAATAAGATGCTTTTCACCTATTCAGTGTTTTAAATTTCTGCACTAGATCTGTGACATTAAAAAAAGAAAGATACCAAATTGTTTAGCAAGGGCATTACAAGACCTGTTATGTCTGTGTGCCTGTCAATGCTCAATGAAGCACCTAATTCCTGTCGTCAATTGGAGTGTCATTATCTTTGTGGAATTTTGGGCCACATTTCAAGGTAGAAAATGGGAAAGCATATAAGAAAACATACTTGAAGCATATAAGAAAACATACTTGTTGTCCTCAACTGGAATGCAACCATGTCGATAGTCATACAACTAATACTCGCTGCAGTTGTTTGAGTTTGGCCCCCTCCATGCTGGAGGCCCTTCCTGGTAGTTTGTATAAGAAGAACACGACTGAAATGCAGTAAATGGATGTTGTGGAGACACGTTTAATCTTGTGTCCTTTAAAGGAAAATAGAACTGGAAAGGACATTGAAAGGCTATCTAGTCCATCTCCATGTCTCGAGAAAGGATTCTATTATCTAAACTTCCTGAATTACTGTCTGATCTGAGCTATTGCCAAACCTTTCCAAAACACAGTGATGATGAGTTTGCCTCCATCTTAGACAACATATTCTACTGCCATTACTATTGTTAGAAAGTTTTCCTGATTTCCAGCTTGAATTTCACTTACAAAGTCGTCCGTGGGTGTACTCCTCACATAGCAAATACTTAAAATGCTTGTGCTTGTCAAGAAATGCTGATCTAAAAATAAAACTGTGTATTTATGTCTCATTTTCAACATGTTAAAATGACCTGTTTGTCTGAGGCAGACAAAATCTCACAACACGAGATGGGACCATTAAGGATTCAGTTAAAATGTCTTCATTCTTCAGCCGGTCCTCAATCAGCCCTGCCTTTTTAAGTCTATTTTAAATTATAGCAGTCAGCGGCAGTCCTTAAGGCATTATCTAACAGCTGGAGAGTTCTCAAGGGCTACCTCCTCCTGATCCTACCAACTTTAGACATACCAACCTCCTGCAAACAGTCATCAGGAGAATGGGCTCATCTACCTGAGGGTTACCTTAAGGTTAAATCCTCAGCAAATATCACACAGATACCAAACTCAAAAGAGAAAGGAAAAACGAAAAAAGATGTGAATTTTCTGATGTGGATTCCTTTTCTGAACAGAAGATCTGTAATGATTTTGGAAAGTTTGATCTCCTGGTCCTTTAGTTAATAAAATTTACATAACTCTTCTTTATATGACATATGGGGAGAATAGTCCAAATTAGATGGATAAGCACTGCTAGGCCTTTCTCTTGCTATGAATTGCTTTGATTCCTTTGAATGTAAAGCTACAGTAATGAATCAAGTACAATTAACTGTGGAAAATGGCACCTTTCTACTCAGATGCTATTGAATATGACCATCTGTCCTATGAGGAAAGGCTGAGAGAACTGGAATCTTCAGCTTGCAGGAGTTTCAGGGTGACGTTGTGAAAGTATATAAATACTTCAAGGGAAGGTGCAAAGAGTATGGAGCCAGGCTAGTGACAGGACCAGAGGCAATGGTCACAAAGTGAAACACAAGAGGAGCATCAGGAAACATATTTTCACTATGAGGGTGGCTGAGCAACTGGGTTTAAGTGGCTCTGCTTGAGCAGGGGGGTTGGACCAGGTGACATCCAGAGGTCCCTAACAAGCACTCTGTGATTCTGTGACAGAGAATCACAGCATCTACAAATTGCTGTTGGTTGTATGACTAGAGAAGTAAAATCACTCTAGTTTTAATGCTTCTGCAAGTCTGAGATGACCAATGGAATAATCTCGATTCTGCTCTTATTTGTGCATATTAAAGCTGATACCAAAATCCTACTAGGCTAACCAAGCAAGGGCAGTCCAATTCCATTTGTATTAGTCTAACAGTATGACAGAGGAAACTGTAGGGTTACATGGCACTTGAGAGAGCATAATCTGTCCAGCAGCATAGTGATTAATGGTAGAAATGCCCTTAGGAAAAACCCAACAAAAGAGACCTCCTCCCTAATATACCCCAAAAAATAACCAACATAGCTTCCAGAGGCCCATCGTACTTTCTTAACCTTTCTTACTTCTAAGCTACCTGCTGCCCTGAGTCACTTGAGACAAACTTGATCTGAATTAAAACATGTTTTAAACCACGTTGATAAGATTAGGGTTTCGCTTTAAATAATTTACTGGTGATAAAAACATCAGCTAATTATATTCCTTTTTTGTTGTGTTTGAAATGCAAAAACATGCATCTGAAGAAAGAGATAGCAGCAGGGCTGTAATCCAACACCTGTTCTCATGTCATACATACTCAGAGATATTGATTTACCTTAAGTTCCTCGGAATCAATGAAGCCACTGTGGTCGCTGTCATATTTCCTCCATGTCTGCAATCAGAATATGAATGCTTTAATGATATATTTATGGCAAGCAAGTCTTGGATGGTTTTACAACAGGCAACTTTTCATACTGTACCTGCATGAAGTCTTCACTTGACTTTAGCTGCTGGCATCTGAAGAACAACAGGAAATTCTCTTCCGTTGGCAATATCTGAGCAAGCTGTAACACAATTTATGCAAGATTGAATTTTGATTCTTCACTAGGCCAGCTGAGCCTGTAATAGAGCATGAAGCTTTTTAAAAGCATATGAAATTCTTTGTGCTCATACTGCCCTATAGTGGCCCCATAGGAAGCTTCATCCTGCTAGCTGAAATGTTTGGAAGAAGGCTCTGAAAGGCTTCTGGCTTGCAGCTTTGCCATATTCATCAAGGTCAAACTTAACTGAGGTCTGAGAGGAGGGAGTGAGGCGGCACTTTACGAAAAGGGTAGCTGGGGAAAGGGGAAAAAATGAATTCACCCATGTAGAGCTAGGATCTGTACTGAAAACCATTGAATTGGCATGAAGGGAAAGCATAATGAGAGAATGCATCGATGATAGGTGTGAAGGACTATGAATGAAGAAAGTGAGGAAAACAGACTGCTCACAATGGCAAGGAAGAGCAGGAAGAGAGATGAACGCTGACATGAAGAACACATATGTAAGGCAAATGGTTAAATATAAGGAAAAGCCAGGAGAAAAGAAAGAAAACGGGGAGGGTAAGGGTTGGCAACCAGTGCTCAATTGTCGGACTTGGAGATGTGTTCAAGAAGAGCTATAAATACCAGAAAGAAATCAAAAGGGTTTTTAGCCCTGCAAAACCAGGGGTGGTTCTTCCAATGCCTCTCCTCTACAAAAGGCTTTTTTAAAATCAGACACATTATTGTACTGATTATTGCAAATGTTCATTTACTATAACTCAATTTTGGCAAGTGACAAATGTAGAAGATGGAAAGCATTGCTGTATAATTTAATGTAAAATCACTATTTGTTTTTAACAAAAGCCCAATATTTTTTTTTCTGTCCTCAAAATGTATGAAATGTGTTTTGATTAAAGAAAACTTTTTACTTGGAGAATAGAACAGCTGTGCTTACTAGGAAGAGAAAATGGAGAAAGACAGATTTCTTAGCTGAATTCTTTAATGAAAAATGACATCTGCAGAATTCCTGGAGTCCCATCTTAAAATTTCTAATCAAATTTTTGTTTTTCTGCCTTCCTTTCACATCCTCAAATCCCTTGTTCTGCCTATTTCAGTGCTATTGCCTAGTTGCTGAGGCTTTTTTATTGGGATCCAGCAGAGCCATAAGTGAGTTCAGCACTCACCCCACAGGCACAAGGAGGCTATGGAGACATATCTCTTGTTTCTCTACAATTATCTATGCAAGGAATCAGTTATATTCTTTGATTGTTGGTACAACTGAAAAGACACATCAGAGCACTCTCCTTACAGAAATGGCGCAGCTGATGACAGGCTGTCAGACCCATCAGAGCCTTCTGAGTACTTTTGCTAAATGGCTGAACACCAAACCAAAAGCAACTTGAACAATGCGTTTTTGTCAGCAGCTTTCAAAATCTACTCCATTATAAATAGCATATACACATGTGGGTAAGTACATATTCATACAGACGCAGTAGCTAAATGTGTCTTGATTTATGGAAAAATGTTTTTATTTCTCCTATGACAGACAAGCTTGATTTTTAGAGTACATTCCTATTTAATAGCAAATGGAATGGAAGAACTGCTTAGAACAAAAAGCAGAGTTTGGGGGAAGGGACTGATTATGACAGTGGGAAAGGGTTTGCATGTGTGGAAATTATAAATAAGATGTCGTTCAGTGACATAGGTAACTCCTGTGAGTTTTGCAAGGACACTGTAAAATAGTACAAGGTGCAAGGGTGAATGTAAAATAGTAACTGTCCAAAGAATCATTAACAGCTTATTAGCAGTACCAAACTGTATTTGAGGTACAGAATATATGACCTTATTTTAAGCTATACCTCTCACTCTTTCTATGTCTCAGGGGAAAGCATTAAATTGTTTTTCGTGGAAAACTTTGCAGTATTAAGGGATGAAGAGGTCATGTGGAAACAGGCTCAACTTCCCAGTTTTATACCGCTACTGAGAAGAAAGATGGAAACCTATTTCAAGTCATTACTTCTTTGTGAGGATAAGCATAAGGGGACTTCATGAGAATGTGTGAGTAAGAGTGCAGACCACTGCAAGTCCGTGTATGGCAGCAATAGTAGTTTAGTGAACTTTGCTGCTTTTATGGAGAGCATTGGTTATTTCTGTATCACAAATAATAGAGGACAACCACAAAGCCTGACACTGGTTTGACTACTCTCTGCTCAGCTGCAGGCTGAGATGTGTCTTTATAAGTTACCTAGCAGAAAAAATACTCTCATTGCCTAAATCATAACTTTTTTCTAGAAATCGTTCTCTAAGTAAATTCCATTATATTTAATGCTATTTAAAATTCCTTTCACCTAATACAGTGAATTTTCTTTTTTAAAATCCTATAATAGAACATGGGAGGACAAAGAATATTTTAGGCTAATGAGTAGTTATTTTTATGGCAGCAGTAATCTTCAAATAATTTGAATGTAGAATTGTCGCAGTTCCGAGTTTTGAAACCTTGGGTTTCACAAGCACATTTTAGTGAAAGCGTTGGTCTGAATGAGTACAAAAGGTGAATTAAAGGTCTCTTACACAATGACAAGAAACTGAACAGGTCAGACTTTGCCTTTAGCTGGAGAGCACTGGATTAAAGCCAGTGAACTAACTGCATTGTGCTTGCAAAGACAGAATTGACGCTTAATCTGATCTGAAAATCCACTCCTTCCTTTGTGAAGCCACCCAGGCCTCCTCTTTATCTCAGTCAACAGACCTTTCCTGAAAACTCATTATTTGCTCGCACATTTTTTGTCACATACTGGGATATTCATTATGATGGTTGGGAGTCTGAATGCTTTACATGATTTTTTTTTAAACAGCATTCATACACGTTTCGTAGAAAAACTATTTGATATACTATGTAAATGGGAGCAATCTGGAATAACTGGACTTTTTTTTTTTTTTTGTAAGGAAGGAGAATCAAATCCAAATACCAACTTTAATTTCATACTGCTCTGCATGTACAAGATTTTTCATGAGTTCCATCAGCGCTTTCCAAATCAAGCTTCATGCTGATGTAAGTGAAATAAAATATAGCTATTGGGTTTGGAAACTGCTATATTAAGGGAGAAAGTCCCTTCAGTTATGGGACTCAATACTGTCACTATTCAGTGGCTTCCGTGGATGCTGAGCATGCTTGGTGCTTCACTGGGGGTGATGAGCCATATCAGAACCTACTGGCTTTGTTCATCTTTACCCATTAAGTAAATATCAGAATCAGAAAAATGATTTGAAAGGTAAATGTTCCAGTTATCTTTCCTAAGTGAAGAAGCATAGTCTTTTTCAGGCACTGTTCACAAATTCTTCTTGCATCCAATGCTTGATATTACACATATGCAAAAAGACTATTTAAATAGGATTTCTCGATACCAAATAAATATGGGTTTGTTAGTCCAAACCCAAACATTTTGTTAGACCAAATAAACAGTAGTTCTTTCTAGATGCAGAGCTATTTGATCAATACTAAGTATCGTCAAAAGATGCATTTTTAAAAGTCAATTACAAGTGAAACAAACTGATCATATTTCTATGGTATTTTAGTAATAATTACATATGCATTTAAACAAGTATATGAAATTGAGACATATGACAGAAAAGATATCTTTACATTATCTATTATATCAGCAGTGATACTTCCTATTGACTTTTACAGATTCTATTCAGTCCTCTATTTTAAAATTAGCTGCTGACCCAAAGTTGGTCACTGTAGAATTTTTCAGGCCTGGCTTGTTTCCAGCTGTTCCCTAATTAGCTCTCTAGGTCAGATTTCTTATTATCGGGAAAAAATATAATATCATTTAATAATAAAACTGCAGTCTCATTGCACTCAGAGTGACATAAACGAGTTGTCAATTTAAGCTCAAAAAAGTGACTTCTTAAACTGTAACCCCACGAATTCTCCTTTTTGTCTTGCAGCACTGAAGAGTGAAAGTGAAAGAAAACCCTTTCCTAGCAAGTCGCCTAAATCGCACAATTATTGAGCAGCTACACAAGGAAAAGAGATTGGTTATCTCATGTTATGTTCATGTTGTTCTGTGCTAAATGTATTTTCTTCAAGTAAACATGTCAGTCTTTTGTTACAAAGTAACAGTCTTACCTCGACTATTCCTATTTTTCCATCAGTAGTCTTCCCATATTGGTCCACAAAAGCTTTCATTTCAGGTGTCAAATCCTACAAAGTTGCAATGATAGAATCATTACTTCAAGATACAGAGAAACCTATGTAAAATTACTTGAATATTCTATTAGTTGCAAAATAATACGCTACATTTAATGAAATACACTCATCACGGCTAGACTCCTCAAGTTTAAATGAAAATTAGTGTTTTTTAATCATGAATAATGTCATTGTGATAAATTTTACTTCCTAAGGAATTATATTATAGTCAGTGTGAATGATTGGCATTTAAATGCTTAGAACTCTATTTTAGTTTACAGAATGAAAAAATTATAAAGACAAGTGTGTTGGAAGATGCATATAACAGCTCCTTTGTTTAAGAGCATGACAGTGTAGTTCATAGGCAATTATTAGTCCATTTCCTCAGTTTTCATTCTTAAATTAGTGACTTAAAGGCAGTGTGAAATCTTTCAAAGTAAGAAAAAATTCAGTATAAGACATCTGAACACCAAAATAGCCTTTCCACATCTTTGAGTGGATTTTTCCTGAACAATGGATGCTATTTTAGTCCTAAAAGAACTCATCACAGTATCATATTTTTCACTGTTTAGTATTTGGTTATCATGGAAACAGAGTCAAAATGTCACTGCTGAACTGTAGAGAGGCAGATTTAGGGGGAAGAAAACTTCAAGCAAAATCTTAAATCTGACAGAATAAAGCCATCATTGTTCTTCATGTAAATTATGGTCCCTGCTATACATCTGCTCTCTTAAGGCTATCCTCATTCTAGGCTGTGAAAAAGATGCCAGCCTTGGGATGAATATCTAAATATTTGATTTCACACTTCAATTGACTTGTCTTGCTTTGATGTGAGCTGCCATCAACCTTCAATACTGATCAAACTTTTAATTTTCATTGTATTTCTTGTAGGTGTGAGCTATTGAAACCATGCAGCATGAATCAGGGTTACAGTTATAATAATACAATGGACAGTTCTATGGTTATAGATGAAGATACAGCAAACTTTGAAAATTAAAGGTTTAGTTGCTATAATAAATCTGATTATATAGGGCCTAAGTGATTCTCTCACTGGAGACATGGGGAATCTCAGCTGTACAAAGTCCATTGTAGTTTGTCCCAAATTTCACTACCAAAGCTAACTAAAATGTCAGTTCCTTGTAGCTGATACAGTCACGGCCTAGTATCCTATTTCGGTCAAAGTCATCCATGGCAGGTTAGTAATTTGCCGTGGCTTTAATTAGAGATGTGGTTATTAATACAATGCACTTCAAAGTCACCTTTCATCTAATGATCCCAAAGTGGGGACAAGTTTGCTTAGCACGTAGAATGGAGAATTTAGACTCTTGGATTTTAATTAGTCTTGGTTAAACATTTTACTAATCTTTCTAATAGCAGCTCTGCAGTGCCAAACAGTGTCCAGCCGTGGAAGGAGGCAGAGTAAATTACAGGTTAAACAAAACAGGATGCTTGTCCTCTAGTTCATTATTCAGAAATGATTGTGGGTTTTTTTGTGTTCACTTCACCCTCTCTTCAGCTGTTTGATGAGTTTTTTGAGTTATATTACTCAAATAAATATTTTTGGTCAAAAAAACTTGCCTAAATTTAACCAAGCCTACTTCTAAACTTGATCCAGATGCAATATTCAATTTTTGAAATTAAGAAACTAGCCCTTCACACCTCAGTCAGACACCTCAGAAGAGAAATTTGTCCAACAAGTGGAACTGTAGAAAAAAAATAGGGTTTTTTTTAATATAATTTGAAAATGTAAGGATAGATGGCACTATAGAAACACTTACATGACTGTATTCATAAATCATATTTCTGTGGAGAAATATTGTCACTATCTCTATATGCAGGGAAAGTGAGAAATGAATGTGGAATAGTTCAGCCAACATCCACCTATTGACACTTTATCAGCTTCTGTATTAATCACTTATATCTCAAAGTTTCTTTTGGCAAATAGGGAATGTATTGCATAAATGTGGAGCACAATAAATGGAAGCTTATATACTTATATAGCTTTTATCTTTAAAAAAGAGGCAGTTCTTTTAACATGATTGAAATTAGATCAGATCAAATCACTGTCTACCATAATGCCTAATGTTACCAAAGCCCAAGCCCTAAAACTTGTGAGTACACATTCCCCCCATTGGGACTAGCCTGAATCAAGCTGCATGCTCTATCTGAGAAAAAACAGCTGTGAAAGTACAGGCTTACTGAGTGGATTAATACAGGGATTAGCATTAGAACATAATTAGAATAGTTCCATGGTTGGGAAGAATATTGGGAAATATTAAACCATCCTATTTGATGACAGAATCAATGTGATTCTTTAAAGCATACGGCATGACTGATGCAAAATCCAGCTATGAAGAATGCATAATTGAATATTTCAAAAATAGTGAGAAGGAGAATGACCTGAAATGCAGAAGTTAATGATGACAAAGAAGCTTTGGGGTGTTAAAAGAAGGACAGACAAGGAAATTACTTATAACCTACACTAGTTTTTCAATGTGTCCCTTCTGGCAAAAAACTAGAATTCAACGCTACTGAATTAGTGTCCCATGAGACAAAAAATGAACTAATGAGATGCTTGTTTGGCAAATGAGCCTTCAAGTCCAAGAATCAGATTAGATCTGAAACATAGATGACATATAGCTGTACTTCAGAGCCCACAGACCAAGTGCTGAATTTGATGTTGCTACTGTAGATTGCTCTTAGCAGAACACTCCAAAGTTAGGTTTGAATCAGAGAGATGGGAAAGCAAAACTTAGACACCTGAGCATTTTTAAAATATAGCATGAGATACAGGCAGGGGTTATTTTAAAAAACCCACATAAATTATAACATTTGTAGCAGATAAGAATAATCCTATGAAGCTTTCTGTGTTGCTTTGAATAGGATCTGTTTTTAAGAGATGCATGCTTAATTTGAGAGAGAAATGAATCTGATTTTTAAATGATAAATACTTTTGTCCTTGAGCTTCTAATTATTTTTTTAACTACTGAATAATATATTAGCATTTCTACTAACAATGCCATTCATACTAAATATACATAGGCTTTAATATCTTCTTTCTACCGAGTATACTTAAGTTTCCTGCACTTTAATATAGAAGAGAGATTTGTTCTGTTGCGATACTTTAAATGTATTGAAGTCGAGTTTAATCTTTTCTGTGAAAAAAATATACTTCTTCCCTCTAAAAAACCCCCACATTCCTCTCCCAATTAGCTGTTTTGTTTTGTTTGGTTTTTTTTTACTTTAGATTTGTTTTATTTTATTTTTAATTTTAGTTTAAACTTACTTGCATTCACAAAAACGAGAGCCTACACCAATAGCTCTAAGAAGAATTAACTAGTACCTAAGCTGTAGTAACATTAGAGGCTCTGCTGGGAGACAGATTTTCATATATGTAAAGTTTACACTCATACAGTTAATAAGAAGATACAATTTTCCACAAAATCAATGAAGATTATTTTTTTTCTTTTTGCATTTACTGCTAAAATATACAGCAACTTTCAAAGCAAAGTTAATTATTGAAATGCTATTGCTCAATTTGGAGGCATTCTTATTATGAAGTATTAATCTATTTCATCCATGCATACATGTCATCCAGTTAAATTATAATTTTATTTTCTGTTTCTTCAGAAGTCTTTCAGCATAGATTAATTTAAACCAATTCCCTTAGGTCATATATTGGACTTTGGTGCTAAAAGTGGCCTGATTTAGAAACTGATTATTTTAAGGGCAATTTCTTTGTTAAAAACGTTCCCTTCTCTTTTAATTCAAATCTTTACATGGAATCTTTAATCTTTCTTTGTCTCTTTTTTTATTGTTGTTTTTCTCATATGGGTATACTTTGGAGGAAATGAATAATTAATTTTTCGATAACTTATACACAGAAGAGTTTTGACAACACTGTCAAAAGCTTCGTTGTCTCTCTGAACAGTTTAAACAGCCAGGATTTGGTACTCATACTCATACTCCTAGTGAAGAACAAGAAGTGATTAGGAATCATCTGCAGATCTATTTAGTGACCACCAAGGGGCAGGAATGCATTTCAGCCCGAACTGCCCGTTAGGTATGAAAATAAAACAGAGTCCAACTACCTTGAAGTGTTTTTTTCTTTTTCTTTTTTCTTCCCCCACCCCCTTTATCTTTTTTTTTTTTATTATTTTTTCTTTCCCATTTTAGTAAGAGTACATATCTAGATCAGATAAGATTAATTGCAATGGGATAAGGTCCCATCCAAGACAAAAAGACAACATCCATGTATTTCTTGACTTTTCTTTTTTAGCACTGTCAGAAGTATCAGCTTGTAGCCTGGCAAGGCATGAGCGGGACCCGCTCTCCACGGGGGTGGACCCTGGTCTCACCTTTCCAAAGTAGACGATTTATTTCATTTGCAACCTGCTCATTTCTAACCGAGCTACTTCCCTTTGCCTGGTGAGGCAGGTGCATGACCCGTGTCATGGCAAGAGAGAAGAAAAGGAACTGGGGCACTGGAGTTTGCTCAAGAAGACTCTTCTTTCCCGAGAAGACGGAAAAGTGGGGCCAAACATTAACCTACCAAGCCTGCCTTCTTCCGTGCCTGCTGCAGCTCCTGGATGAAGTTTTGTAGCTCCTTCCCATCCATGAACCCATTGCCTACAACACAAAGAGTTACGGTTGCCGTCACCGCTCCCTCCAAACTCTCCGCTCTCCAGCGCCGGCACAGGGACGTCTCCGACCCGTCTCTCGCTCCCGGCGGAGCGGCGCCCGCGCCCCTCGCCCGGACCCCTTCACGGCTGCGGGGCTGCGCCCCGAGGCTGCTGCGGCGGCCGCCAGGCGGGGAGCGGAGGGGTCCCCCCAGCCTCCCGCGGGCCTGCCCCCCTCGCCCCCCGCTCCCCCGCCGCCCCGGGGGGGAAAGGAGTCACCGTCGGAGTCGTAGTGGTGCCAGATCTCGAAGAACTGGGCGGCCGAGATCTCCACGCCCTGCAGGTGGGTCTCCGCCGTCATGGTGGGCGCGGGGC